TCATTTAAGGCTGCTGTCTCCTTGTTGATTTTCTGCCTGGAAGATCTGTTCATTGAAGTTAATGGGGTGTTAAAATCCCCAACTAGGACTGTATTTCTGTTGATCTCATTTTGTTTTGTACAAGATTTGCTTTACATATTTAAGTGCTCCTATGTTGGCTGCATAAATGTTTACTAGGGCTATATTCTCTAGATGGATTTTTCTCTTTATCATTATGTGGTGTCCTTCTTCGTCTCTTACTATAGCCTTGGTTTTAAAGTCTATTTTTTTAGATGTAGGTACTGCTACCCCAGGACTTTTTCTTTTTCATTTACACAAAACACCTTTTTCCAACCCTTTACTTTTAGTCTGCATGTGTCTTTCGATCTGAGATGGGTCTCTTGGAGGCAACATATATATGGGTCTTGTTATCCATTCAGCTGCCCTGCATCTTTTGGTTGGAGCCATTTACATTTAAAGTGATTATTGATAGATATGTTTATTTTGTTTTTTTAAAATCAGTTGTTGATATGCATTTATTGTCATTTTATTATTCATATTTTTATCTTCCTCTTTAAGAAGACCCTTCAACATTTCATATCTTACTGGTTTGGTGGTGATGAACTCCTTTAGCTTTTTCTTGTCTGGGAAGCTTTAAATTTGTTATTTGATTGTAAAGATAGCTTTGCTAGGTAGACTAATCTTGGTTGTAGGACTCTGCTGTTCATGACTCTGAATATTTCTTGCCAGTCTCTTTTAGCTTGAAAAATTTCTTTGAAGAAATAAGCTGACATTCTTAAGTGGAGCTGTATTGTAGGTAATTAAATACTTTTCTCTTGCTGCTCTTAAGATTTTTCTCTGTTTTAACCTTTAGCATTTTAATTATGATGTGTCTTGATGTGGTTCATCTTGTTTGGGACTCTCTGCATTTCTTGGACTCATATGTCTATTTCTCTCACCAAGTTAGGGAAGTTTCTGTCATTATTTTTTCAACTAGTTGCCCATTTCTTGCTCTCTCTTCTCCTTCTGGCACAACTATGATGCAAATTTTGGTATGTTTGAGGTTGTCCCAAGGATCCTTACACTGGTCTCATTTTGGGGGGTTCTTTTTTCTTCTTGCTGTTCTTTTTATAAGATTTAATTTATTTACTTTTAGAGAGAGCAGAAAGGATGAAAAAATAGAGAGAAGCATCAGTGTATGAGAGATACTTTGATTGGTTGACTCTCACATGCCCCCAACTCTGGACCTGGCCCACAACCAAGGTATGTGTCCTGACTGGAAATCAAACCATTGACTTTTTGGTTTGCAGGTCAGCACTCAATCCACTTGAGCCTCATCAGCCAGGACTTGCTCTTCTGATTGGTTGTTTTTTGATTCCTTATATTCCAAACCACTGATTTGATTCTTGGTTTCATCCACTCTATTGTTGATTCCCTGTAAATTATTCTTTATTTTAATTATTGGACTTTTTAAAAATGCTGTTGAGGTCCTCACTAAGTTCCTTGAACATCCTTATATGCAGTATTTTGAACTCTACATCTACTTGATTGCTTGTCTCTATTTTGTTCTTTTTCTAGAGTTTTATTTAAAAAATACTATACCACTTTATGTATGGTATGTGAGCCTATGACAGTGTGCTTAGATTTTACTTATCTCCCCCTTTGTGCTACTATGTCCATACATTTTCTACCTATGCTATGTAAATTGAAATGATTTTTGCTTTAAACCATTAATTGTTTTTTAAGGGATCAAGAATTGAGAAAATTGTACCATCTTTGCATCCCTGAAATGAATCCCACTTGATCATGGTGTGTAATCTTTTTAATGTATTGCTGGATGCAGTTTGCCAATATTTTGTTGAGGATTTTAGCATCTGTATTCACCAGCAGCATTGGCCTGTAGTTTTCTTTCTTTGTTGTGTTTATATCTGGTTTGGGGATTCGGATGATACTGGCCTCATAAAAAGAGTTTGAGAATCTTCCCTTTTCTTGGATTTTTTGGAATAGTTTGAGAAGGATTGGGGTTAGCTCTTTTTAAAATATTTTGTATAATTCTGGATGGTTGAAACCATCCAACCAGGGTTTTTGTGTGCTGGGAGTTCAGGCTTTCTGCTTCTTTGGATGTGGTTTCAGAAGATTATATGTTTCTAGGAATTTGTCCATTTCACCTAGGTTTTCAAATTTCTTGGCATATAGTTGTTCACAGTAATTTCTGACAATTCTTTGTATTTCTGTGGTATCAGTTGTAATCTCTCTTCTTTCATTGCTGATTTTGTTCATTTGGATCCTCTCTCTCTTTTTCTTGATGAATTTGGTTAAAATCTTGTTGATTTTGTTTATCTTTTTTAAGAACCAGCTTCGGGATTCATTAATCCTTTCAATTGTGCTTTTAATCTCCAGGTCATTTGATTCTGTTCTTATCTTGATTATTTTCTTCCTTCTACTTACTCTGGATTTTGTTTTTTGGTGTTCCTCCAGATCTTGTAGATGTTGGGTTAGGTTGTTTTTTTGAAATGTTTCTATCTTTTTTAGGTAGGCTTGTATCACTATGAATTTCCTTCTCAGGACTGCCTTTGCTGTGTCCCATAGGTTTTGGATTGTTGTGTGTTCATTTTCATTTGTTTCGGAAACTTTTTGATTTCTTCCTTGATCTCATTACTAACCCATTCATTGTTTAATAGCATGCTCTTCAGTCCATAAATTTGAATGTTTTTGAGTTTTATCCTTGAGGTTGATTTCTAGTTTCAATACCTTTTGTGAATGAATGGATCAAAAAACTATCATACATTTACACAATGGAATACTACGCAGCAAAAAGAAAGAACTCTTACCATTCATGACAGAATTGATGGAACTGGAGAGCATTGTGCTAAGTGAAATAAGCCAGGCAATGAAAGACAAATACCATATGATCTCATATATAAGTGGAAGCTCATCAATAAAACAAACATGCCAGCAAAATATAACACAGAGACATGGAAATAAAAAACAAACTGATAGTGACCAGAGGGGAAGGGGGAGGAGGACAATGGGGAAAAGAAAGGGAAGAGTCAAGGAACGTGTATAAAGGACCCATGGACAAAGACAAAGGTGGCGTAGTGAAGATTGAATGTGGAAGATGGGGGAGGTTATGGTGGGGGACAGTAATGGGGGGAAATAGGGGCAACTGTAACTGAAAATTTATTTTAAAAATTTGAGAAAAAATGTCATTTATTAACCCACATAAAATTTGTTGTTAATCCTGTAAAGTGGTACTTTTTATTTTAGAAGTTTGATTTGGGTCTTTTAATAGTGTCTTTCCTTTGTTTTCTCATCATGTTCACCTTTCTTCTACCTTCTGGTAGAATATGCTGTTAGTTCTGAGAGTATAGTGCCAACAGTTGAGGTTACTAAATGATTTTATATATTTTGAATGCTTTTTTTCTGAAATCATTGGTTGAACATATGAAGAATATTTGTAATAAATATTTTAATGTTTTATGTGCTAATTCCATGTTCTCACATCTAAATCTTTTTCTTTTCATTGACTTTTTCCTGTTTATAGGGCATATTTTCCTCTTAGAAGAACACTTGCACTATTGACTTCACATAATCTGTAGTGTGGTTTATGTGTGTTATCTGTGTGCTTGGAATGAAATCTGTATATTGTTCTCTGGTTTCTTACACTGACTTGAAACGTTTCACTGGTTTTTTGGGTTTCTCAGTTCTACTGAACAACCCTTGCATTTTCAAAATGAAAATTGGCTCCCTTTTAAGGGTTTCTATCCTTGTGGTCTTTATTACTATGCAAAAGTGGTGTGTATATGTGTGTGTTTTGCTTTGGGACAATTTATTCAAACCATCAGTGACTAAATTAACACCTCAAGTTTTGACATCATCCATGAAGCTTTTCCTAACCATTTAAGTATGTTTGAGAAGTTCCCTTCTTTTGAGCTTCTAAGCATTGTGGCACTTAAGATATTTTTGCTTATTAAATTATTTTAGTCCTTTTCTTAATCTTCAATAAATTATTGCTTTTTAAGTGTAAAGTCTGTATTTTACTCACCTTTTTTATGCTGCAGTACCTAATGCAAATAATAATTTTTGTTTCAGTCATATTTAACACATGTGGGCCTCAAAAGAAACACATTATTTCCAGTTTTAAAATAAATATCTTTTATTATTTGTCCAGATTAGCAAGATTTTAAACTATTCTCATTATCAGCACAAATTTTCATAGTAGCATACACTTTCCTTTAGTGTGTAAGATTCTTAATGGTTTTGAGTCCTTTTCATTCTTTTATATCTGTTGAATATACCTGCTCTATTCTCTCCCATCTCTTCTTTAATATCTATGTTGTTAAATTATACTCATTTTCTCAATACACTCTTAAAAAATTTTATCAGTCTTTCAGAAGACTAATTCTTTCTACTCTTTGTCTACTAAGTTTGTCTAAGTTAATGATTACTCATTGTAATGAAATTTTCTTTGATTCATAAACCTTTGTTTAGGGTCAGGCAATCAAAAAATACTTACTGAATTTTAACTAAGTAACAAAGCAAGGAGACATTATTCATTACTTGCTCTAAACTTTCAATTATTTCTACCCAAGTGGTCTCTACACATTTATATATGCTATACTGTACAAATAATAGATGCTATTCTAAAATACAAAACAGTTGTCTTATGAGGATGAAAATGCTTTATCATCTAAATATAACTGCCATTTTTATCCCAACTACATAGGCTTAGAAGAAAAAAGACTGGTTTTTTTTAGAATAAAAAACCTTTTATTTTGTTTTTCTGTTGTTTAGTTAGTATAGTTCTTTAGTAACTCTAGGTTCTTATGTTTAATATATGTTAATAAAAATTCTGCTCTTACATTAGAATTTTAAAAATACAACAACTTCTCTGGCTAGCCATTAGTTCTGAGAGCATTATATCATCAATTAAAGTTACTACATGTTTCATATATTTTGAGTGCTTTTTCTCTGAAATCATTGGAATCTTACCTACCAGTGATATGCTTTTATTTATATAGGTGGCTATGCGCCATTTCTTTCTTTGACTGCCAGAGAAAGTGCTTTTACTGTTGCCTCTGATGCTGAGAACGCTGTTCCTGGTCCAGGACATTATAATATTTCAGGAAAACAGGTAAAGTTATAATAGTCATTATATTGTAATGATCCAAGTTAATAAACTTGTGCTTTCTTCCTTTAATAAACCATTAGGTCAATTGTCATATTTTATATTCCCCTAATATTATCTTCTCATTTCAATCTACATTTTATAACTAGAGAAAGTAAATGTGTTAAATGTTGGTCCTTTTGTTGAGTGTTCTTTATTATTCTATATATTCTGTAAGGCATAAAACATTGTTACATACTTCATGATCCTTGAGACTTGAATGAGAGAATAAAACTATTGAATGAATTGTACAAATAGTCAAGACATGTAGATGAAGGATAGAAATAGAGCGGAGACATACATACCATGCAGAATAGATAGAGCTATTGCCATTGACTCATCTGTCTCCTAATTCTATACAGTCCCAAGGGTGTGTGACAAGAATATTCTTGATGGACCATTAATGTTCAAAAACAGGGGATGTAACTCCATTATCTTTATAATCATGAATATCATCTTATACTCTTTCTGCATAAACATTGCATTCTTACTTAGTAACTCCTAGCTGACCCTACCAGGCTTTTATCTCTCCAGTCAAAGGCCGAGATGCAGTTACTGAAACCTTAATTTTTGCATTAGACTTTCTAAAGTTAATAACAGCAACATTCTGTCAGGAGTTTCCATTTATAAATAATGAAATAGATTTTTAAGACATATACTATGTTTACAATAAAAGATTTATAGAAAAGGTAGTCGGGTAGGTCATAGACTTACAGGGAGATTGAATAGTCAGGTCTTATGAAACGGTAGAACTAAGAAAATTCTAAGTAATTCAATAGTAAGAACTTCTGCACTATTCAACAGGGAACTGCCATTAGATAACATACTTCTTTAGCTTCCTTCCTTCCTTTCTTCCTTTATTCTGTTTTTTGCTTTCTTTCATTTTTTATGTATAACTCCACTGAAGATTAAAATTCCCAGTAAGGAGAATCTGATCGATCTAGTTTCATTATAAAATTGTCATATTTCATCATTCTGAAGCCTACTTAATCTCTAGATTAAATAGTAAATGTAACATGAGATATCATAAAAGTGGTTAGGAATGTAGGCTCTGGAGCTAGACTGCCTAGATTCAAAATCTGTCTCTGCCACTTAGTAGCTATGAGACTTAATCTTAACCATTTAATCTCCTTGGGCCTTAGTTTCCTCATCAGTCAAATATTAATTTTGTAGGTTCTTTCTGAGGACTACATGTGCCAGCATTCAGTAAACATTTAGAATAGTGCCTGACTATATAGTTAGCATTCAGTACATTTTAGCATTATTAGTATTGTCATTTTACAGTAGAAGGGAGAAAGAAAGAGAAAGTGAAAGAAAGTGATGTAGGAAGCAAAGAAATATGGGTAGGGACTTGTTTTATTTCTGTAACTGATCATGAGGCTATAGGTAGCTTCATATTTTTTCATTACACATTCCAGGTTCACCATCTTTTCAACAATGACTGTATCTTGTAAAGTTCTTAGCTTGATGAGGTGATTAGAATGTTCAGTTCTAAGGAGCCTGAACTCTTAATTCTCAGGCTTGCTTCACCTTTAAATAAACTTGCTTTTAGCATTTTCACTGGCTGTCGTAGTGTGAGGAGGCTTTGCAGGTTATGCCTATGTTTCTTCCCACCTTGGCTTTTAATAGTCCTGTTTTTCAGTCGTGGTCAAGTTAATCATCTTAGTCAATGCACTAACATCCTTATTTTGCTTTTTGCTTGGTAGCATAAAAAGCCTGGAATGGTCAGTTGGTGGTCTCAACTTCAATTGAAATGTTGCTTCATGGGGGTCTTAAACGAATCTTGGAGGACAATTCGATAGTGGATCATTAAGTGTAATCGTTAGGAGTGTCACTCCTGCTTCTACTTATGATCCACAGACTAACATTTTATGGGTGTATGGCCTTGCTAACTACCAGTAGTTCTAATATTAAAACTTATGTGTAACTCCAGTGTTCCAAGAGGCAAATGAAGTGAAATATTCAGTAAGTAGACCTTAAACTTGTTAAATAGGACAAGTGTCAGGAATTTGGAATATTATTTTATATTTATACTGATTTTAATCAATTCTGTATGAGATAATATAAAGTACAATTTTGATCAAATTTTGTTTTATTCCAAATTGGGTGTATTTCTTGGATTTCAAGAATAAAAAATTAGGGCTTCTTTTTTGTGTAATGAATGATCTAAGAAAAAAGAGTTCTAGTAGTCTCTATTTTTCTTTTTAAAACTATAAACAAATGCCAGAAGAAGATGGATTTTCTTAATTTAAAAAGTGACTAATAATTTATTTATTCAATCACTGCTGATTTTTTTGGTAGTTTTAAGCCAAACCATTGCAGAACTTAAGTTCAAGAGGTATGAGTTTATCACACTGTTTAAGAAATAAAATTCATTTCATGTTAAATGGATGAATTAAGAAACATTTTTGTAATGTGATATAGTTTATGTATTCTGTAAAAAGTAATGTGATAATTTTATTGGAAATTAATGCAAGTATTTAACAACTTATTCTTAAAATTTTCTTTTGGAAGCACTGGTTGAAAGCATATAGTTTCTATCAGCAATTACTTAGTAAACATTATTTGGGGATTTCGGTGAAATTTAAACAAACCTAAAATGTCGGTTGTGCTAGGGAAGGGCATGTCTCCCCTATAAGCTTTGTAGTGGAGCTTTGTAAAGTAGGAGTTGAAACTGTGTACCCTAATTTGGCTTTCTATTGTTCTCTGTATCTCTTAATAGTTGTTTCACTTTGAACAACTGTTGTCAAAGTTATGGTTGTCACCAGTATTCCAAAGTCAAGGATGGGGTTTGGGCACACTTTTTGCCTTTATAGCTCTTACCCAGTTGTGGGCAAAATCACTTTTACTTTGTTTCTTTTAGCATAGCTGAAACATGCTAAGTTTTGTTTTTTGAAAGGAAGTTTGCTTAGTAGAAAACAACATAATGGAATTAAAATGAGGGGAAGAATAAGTTTTACAAAGTTCAGCTTCTGATTCTTTAATAGATAATTAGCTTAGTAAGTAACTTACCTTGTCTGTTCATACATTTCTTAGGATTCTCACTTCATAGTGTCAGTGCAAATTTCACTTATGTTTTCTGGTCATGTTCTTTTCCAGTTTCTGATTTGTCTCTGCTTGGCAGGTACCATCTTGTTTTTTTAGTACATGAGAATAATTTTAGAAGTGGTATCTTTTTTCTGGGTATAGCCAAATAGTTTCTTCATATTTTTTATTAAGTAGGCCCAGGAATAGAAGTCTGCATTAAGCTTGATTTCTGATCTGAGTGATACCTCTCAGTAGAGCTGAATAATAAGACATATAATACAGTACCTGCCTTGACCCTGTGGATGAGACTGCTCCTGTAATGTTGGGGGGTTGCTGACAATATCATAAATTCATCAAATAACTGTGGTGTTTAGACAAAAGCTAGTACTCAAGATGTAGTAGGACTGTTTTCTCATAGGTCTTCATATAAAATATATAATTACTTAGTAGTATTTTATTTGGAGTCATTTATCTGACATGGCAGTTCCTTTTGTAAGCTCTTATAAAATCAATAGAATTGGTAATTATGTAATATGAGTCATTCGAAAGAATTCTGGTTAATTTGTACATAGTTTAAAAAAATAACGTTATGGTACCAGGAAGACCTGAGTTGGTGGGCTCCTTCTCAGTTCTTATCTCACTCACAAGAGAGTTCAGGTAAGAGCAACCTGTATAGTAGAAATAAGATGGCAAGCTTATTTATGAAGTACACTTGAGAGTGAAGCTGCAAGCTGGCACTCAGCTAGTGAGTGCCTTAACTATAAGGGTTTTATTCTTCTGGCCAGCTTCTAGGTTCCCTCTCCTCCTCCCCTTGACATGGATACCGGCTTGCAGTGTCCAGAGCATTATGGATGAGATGCAATACATTCACATGGACTACAAGTCCTGTGGATAAAAAGAGACTGCGTGGCCACTCTCTCTAGGGGAGAGCACCTCTGAGTGCCTCAACCACTCTCTCAAGAGGAAAGGCCCCAACCCTTGCCTTGACAGGCTGTTATTGGGTTCAATCTGCATAGGAATAAAGCTCATCATTCACTGTCAGGCAGAAATGATTAAACAGTAGATAACATTCAAAGAACTCTGAGGGCTTATTCTGAGTCAGGGTCAGATAGTTAAAGGGCCATAAAACTTTGGGGAACAAACTCACTTCCTGCTTGGTTCCTTATTATTTAAATTGAAGGTATTAGCAAAGTAGGTTTCATAGGATTTTATGTATTCTTTCTCTGGCCTGATCACACTAGGGAACTCGCCCTTTCCATCACAGGGCAGCACCCACCATCAGCATTGTTTCAGGCTGAAGTCGGGTGGGGGAAGTAAGGCAGCCAAGAGATTAGGAGACTTCTTGCAGACAGCATGAGGACTCAGGCTATGTTAAAGCCGAGGGGCGAGGGTCCATCACCCCCTTTTTCTGTAGCCCCCAAGTTTTTCCCTGGGGGGCCCCAATGATTGTGCCTAGTTTAGATCATCCCTCCCATGGGGAATCTTACCATCAATGGGTAACTGATTAAGCCCTGGGGGCCAGGCAGGATGAAGTAAAAGGAGCAGAGACTGTGCCCCTGCCAGGGAGATAAGCTTTATCTCCTTAGTGGCTTATGGTCTGAAGGTCACTCACTCAGCCTTATAGCCATGGGGGGGTTACAGCTCCAGAAACCAGGCAGGGCAGTTCCCAACATCCCCTCTCCAGACCTTGGGATCAATATATAGTATCAAAGGCCTTCTTTCCCAGATAGTGAAAAAGATACAGAATTTCAAGTGTTCACCTCCTCTTGCACTGTCATGGTTTTTCTTGTGACTTTCCGAACACCTGGCAAACTTACATGATCAGGTTGCTGAATTATTGAATGAGGCTTGTCTCCCTTCTTTTCTCTGCCTTGGTGTGCTATCTGTCCTGCCTAACAATTATATCGTTTTTAAACCTTCTATTAAAGTATGCAGTATAA